AAACATCGTCTTTCTGTGAGCTGGTCAAGTCACTGTTTGTACATGGTGTTTCGGGGACAATTGAATTTGAACCCACGACAGAGCATGTCTCTGAAATGGACATTTCTGAATCACTAGGCGCATCATGAATGACTGCTACTAATTCGTTTACATTACCGCTTATCAAGGATTCACGGAGGGTTTCATCGACACGTTCATACGTTCTGCAGTCATTTTTCAGCTCTGTATGCAAATCGGAAATTAATTTATCAACTTGTGTCACATCTCCAAAACATGGATGATTTAGTAGCCGTGTGCGTAAATTGTCTATAACATTCAACTGGATCTTTTTGATACTATGCTGTTGTCGCTCAAATAGCAACTGTAATTGATCGAAAGAGATAGTCATTTTCTGAATCAGCACGGTAATGAAAGATACTGTATGACCAATTAACAATCGATGTCGTTCAAGGACACCGGCAAGAACCCTGTATGCTGACTGCTCGAAATAATTACACTGAATTTTGTCCAATTGCAGGCTGATTTTGATTCGTTAATTTTAAGATTGAGGATTCAGGATTTTTTCACCCCGTCGCCAATTGCTATTTCTAGTTGCATATATTCTGATATGACGCATATAACTTAAGCACATCAACGCTAGAACCCTTACGAGTCACAATGAGAAGACAGAAGATTAGTGAAAGGAATGTTGTTCCAGACAGTGTCAAATTATAGTACAAAACTATCAGGTATTTATAGTTTTTAGTAAAAACGAAATCATCATTATTTCTATTCAGTCCACACAAAGAACGTTATTAGCATTGTCCAATCGGAATATTCTTCCAAAAGATGATTGGTTGGAATATTTTCGGCTCTTTCTGAGCTTCTTAAGGCTTTCTCAAGCTCGCCCGTGGGCCGTTCTCGTATATTCAATAATATGATAATCCCATTTGGAATATGAACGAAAATCAGGAAACATTAAAATATGATTTTGTTTTAGTGTAGAACTGCTCATTCGTGAAAAAACCTCGACATCGTTAATGATCGAACCTATATAGATTAGTGTCCAATGGTACGACTTCAACTTGAATCAATATACGATATAACACCATCGGTGCAAAAAATGTTAATTTACCGACAAATCTGAACTCTACTAGATGTTAAATCGAAATTTCGCTGTTACTAATAGGCACCATTTTCAACAAACAATACATTACGAAATAATAGCTATCTAGATAATTTTGTCAGAAAATTCCTAAAAGAAGAAAAAATTGTGACTCAGTCAGTGAAAAAATCCCTATATCTGAAACTGGACTTTAAAGGGGAAATTGCGGGTGATATTTTAACAAATCGACTCAAATTATCTGTTGAAAGGATGTTTCACGCCGCCAAGCTACATCTAATTTTCTCAACTAAACCAGTACTTACACAATAAATCAAGGATAGGCTACCGATAATAGGCTCCTCCATGAGTGTATACCAATTCAACTGCTCCTGTGGAGCTAGTTACATAGGTCGTACTCAGAGGGCTTTATCCTTGAGTGTTCGTGAACATGTACTAGCATGGTTGGGGGAAGAAGTTACTAAATCAACCAACAGCACTATTCTTTCTCACTTGGTAGATAGAGAACATCATATCAAAATAGAGGAAGCTTTATCTGTTTTATATCAAGTTCTAAAGAATCTACCTCAAGGAGCTAGATTACGGTTACTCTACATAGCCAAAGCCATCTGGATCAAATCCAGAAAACCGAACTTATGTATCTAGAAAAGGTATATCCTGCCTCTATGTTTACCTTGGTCTACGACTGGATAACCTATAATGAATATTATAAACCTCTCATTCCCTTCCCAGTTTTTTGTTACACTTATCTTAATCTTCACATCGATCTTTCCCAATTCACGTGGACCTTTTTTATCGTAATAAACTTGATAAAACCGCCGTGCGTTTAATGACATTCAACAAGATGAAATCCTCCCACTAAGCATTTTATTCACAGAACTTTTTTCATTTTCATTTTTGCTATATTACTGTTGTACTGAATGTGATTTGACGCTTCACCCCAAATCATTCTGACCTTTATTAAATGACCTTTCTAATTTACAAATAACACAATTCTGAAGTATGTATGTCGTAACAGATACAAACGTTCACCATTTTAAACAGATAACATTGTCAAATTCGTTAATACATGCCTTATTTTTGGCCTTTGTAAAATGTCGCAATAATTATGGACTTAAAAATGTAGAGCCTGATGATAGTTATTGAAAACAATTGCTCACTCAAATATTCTTCATTTTTCAATAGAACGTTAAATTAATTTGAGATGAAATTGATTTTTGTAGTAGAGGGAAGACACCTGTGCGATTCCAGGACTCCGGGGTTTACCATAAAAAGAGCGGCTTTAAAAGCTAGAACTCTTCACTCTCTCCTATTTCAGACTAAGGGGAGATCTAATTTTGATGTATAAAATACTAAGAAATTATTTTGGACCTGACATATCATCTAATTTTCTTCCCGCTAGATCGTGACATCTCAGAGGACATAGCAAGCTAGTGGAAAAGCCAAGGACGAACAAAATACCCGTGGCATACAGGTCTTCACATCGAGTTATTAATACTTGAAATCTGTTACCCGAAGCAGTGGTGTCCGCACCTTCAATTGACTCATTCAAGAGAAGACTGAACATTGATAGAAGCATACTAGAAAAGGAGTAACATAGACCGTTGGCCTTCTGTCCTTACTACACAAATCTGAATCTGAACCAATTTTAAAGCAAACTTTGTATTATTGAATCATAAATCCCAAAAACCATTCCAGGTAGGATCAAACACAATAATTCTGTTATAATTATTGATTAGAATAGTTGTCATCTTATAAGGTTATTGAGTTAATTTCCTACAAGGAATTATCAATTATTCAGTGATTAGTACTAGTTAAGGAAATCAGAGTATTTAAATCTAGTTTTAGTATGAAATTACTCTTTCTCTACTCCTCTCTTCCTTCTTTCTTACATAAATTCCTATACGTTTCTGTATTGTTTTCTAGAAGTAAAATCTTATTATATCTTTGGAAGGAGGAAAAATCTATCCCACATATAGTCATTATATAATAGTATTAGAAAGAAATTGTTTTACTATTGTCGATCTCAACAGAAACTGACTACGTCAACAATCATCAATTAAAAATTGTAAAAACTAGAAAACTATAATACCCGTCAATCAATATTATTTTCAATGGTTGAGATCATGAGTTAATTAAAGCTAGATCACTATGAAAAACCTGGAAGCACTGGATGGCTGTTTTATCCTAGCATGGGACTCCTCAGCAGTGCGCATTCATGATCCCACTACGCGAGATTCGAACTCAGGGCCTATCAGTCTCTTTTATTTTTATGTTGATTTCATGATAGATATGAAGTGACAAGATGAATATTAAGTAACATTATTAATGGGAAAAAGAGTTGAAAAGATATTCTTTTCTTAAATGACCATCTAATTTTGAAGCCAACGATCACAGAGTCTGTATAGATCAAAGTATTTCATAAGTACAGGGATAAAACTTGTTAAATTTTATTGATGTTTGTGAAATCAAATAATTTTTTCAAAGCTTATTATCAATTTTTCGATTTTAGTATCGTAGATATATCACCATATAACTTCATTAATATTCAATCAAAACAGTTTCTTCCTGAATTCTTCAAGAAAATCTTCATTTATTTATTCAATGTAGAATTAAGATGAAAATATGAGAGGATCTGTGTGATTAGCCTAAAGATGAATTTTTCGGAGTTCTAGTGAGAAGCCGTGATTATTGGAGTTCAACCATGTAAGGCGGTTATTCACCAAAGACAATGGAAGATGTTAGCGCAATTTCGTGGATTGATTGAAGTGATATATTAACACCATCAGATTCCGGTCCAGTGGTCCAGAGGTTAAGCGTTCGTGTGTGAAACCAAAGAAACTGGGTTCGAGTTTTACGTGCAGGAACATGGAGGCGCACTGCTGAGGATCCCCATACTAGGACGAAACAGCAGCCCAGTCCTTCCAGGTTTTTAATTGTGATCTAATATTGACCTCTTCATGATCTCAGTCAGAATTAGTATTGTCAACTTATCGATATGAAGAATCCACACGTAAAAATTGTTATCTGTTTTATTGTTCCTACTTCAGTAGCTCGCCTATTATTGAATGAACTATAAACAATGTATCTATTCAGAAATAAATGAATAAACGTGGCAAAACTCGTTAGTTTATATGTAATGTACAATTTACATAGAAAGAGGGAAACATTCAACCCTATTTAAAACCATTATTTCCATTTAATGAAAATAAACGAAATATTTTCTTCATACTTTTAAACATCCCATAAACAATTTCTATTGTACATTTCATGCAATAAAACATGAATGTATACAAGTCAGCATCTAAATCTGATTAGATAAACACAGTATAGATTTGATTGTTAAACGCTATATATTTCTTTGATAATCTTGATTTCAATTATTACCCTGAAAAAGAAATCCAGATAAGTTTGCTAGACAAAACACTGAAATTATTCTTGAGGGAACTGGTGCTACCTGACGGATTCGATCCCGTGTCACCCAGATTCACAGTCAGAGACGTTACCACTGATCTATCCGGGCCGTGACCAACTAAGAAGGACTTGACACACATGACAATGATCACCACCCAATGATTAATCAATTGTGAGACATTGAAATTATTTTAAATTTCAATAACTGAGATTATTTCAAATAAATATGTTTCCACATATAATAAAACACAAAGGTGAAACTTTTTTTTGAATTTCGCTTAATTCTGATTGGTTCACTTCAAAATTATATTCCCATTAAAAACAAAACAAGCCATATTGATACAAACAATAAATTTATTAACATTTAAATGTTGATTAAATTGTTGATTGGATAAAACTAATTATTTTTTTCTCAGTTCAGAATAAATATTGATCTACTTTAATTAAAAATGATACTACTGAATTCTGATTGTATTATCTTGTGTTACGGAGCGAAACTATGGGTAATAATAACACAAAGAGAATAAACACAATTCATTGAATACAAATATATGAAAATGATAATTAGTAGAGTAGGGAATCTAATATAGAATAACAATAGCTCATCTGTTAATTGATTCATTTAAATGATGAATGTTTTATATTTATTCCGGTCATTTGTAGATGAACGCAGGTAGGAAATGATTGCTTTTGTCTTTAAAAAATTTTAAAACTTATTGAAGTTTTACATTTTCGTAATTTCATATTGTCTTTTACCTATCTTTGAATTTATCCATGACGTTTTCAGTGTTTGAGTAGTGTGTTGTTGCGAAGGTATGCTACTTATATCGACATAAGTAGTATATAACGTTAGTCAGGAATAGAATGTCTGATAGCAGAAGGTCAAGAAGATCGAAGAGGAAAGAATGTGATTGGTATGGAAATGCAGAAACATTCAAGTCTGTTTACAAAAGGAACAGTCAAGTTTGAGACAATTGACACTTTACTAATTAAGTATTCATTGCATAGTTGTCAGATTTTATTATGATGTTCTGTAATTTTCTGTTCAGATATATTCGATTGTTCTTGCTTGTTTTCTCGGTCACTACATTATGTCTAGTATTTTAGTAGAAGTTTCCCTTTTATTTGGTAGATGGTCGCTGCACGTTAGAGCATAATTTTTTCTTAGAGTCCTCAATTAAAGGCTTACTATTTATATATTTGTATTTTCATCCTACATATTGAAATGAACGGTACTAACTTATTTATAAATTAAAAAGTTTGCAATGAAATCCCTTAGTAAAAATTACACTCTGATTTGTAGCTTTCATTAACTGAATGAACAGAAAAAATGATCAACAGTACTGGATGTAACACATTATCGTGATACTGTCAATGTGAAGGATAACTTCAACCTTCTTTTCGTAGTGATCATCAGATGAAAAGTAAACTAGAATTTTATAGAGGTGCACAAAAACTGTCAATGAAAATTTTTCATTTTAACTGGTATAATTCTTTTACAAAACACTTCAATATATTGACTCATTGTTAAATCATTTTCCATAAGTATTAAATCTCTCTGGAAGTGTAGTTCAATGATTTGCATTTGACTTGTATATGATGTCTATGTAAAATTCTGAATAAAAACATAGAGTTGTGACTTAAAGCAATGGTAAATGATTCCAAAGTTAAATAATGTACAATCATTGTCTATAACGTAAGTACATTCAAGTCAATAAATGCTAGTGACTGACAAAAATATGTACACTCTTAACTTATTCCAGTAATAGTTGTGTTAAGCAACTAAAATAGAGCAGTTGAACATGGGAATTAAAAATATCATATTGATCCCTTTAAAAACAAAAATCTGATCTATTTTATGGTTAAAAGTAATCAGTCCTAAACAAGAATTATAATACGGTAGTTTATATCTTTTTTTGAAAGGTGATCTATCATTTCTTAAAACTTACAATAACCTTAGAACTTGAAACAAAAACATTTAAAACAACAAAAGAAAAATTCTTCATTGATATGTAAATCAGAAGATTTATTTATTTATTATGAAATGAATGTATAATTCGAAAACTCAAATGAAATAAATTGAAAATAAGACAGTTAGAAAGCTTGCCCCCAAATACTCTGACATGACCACGCGTATACAACCACTACCAAGGAAGTCCTATTCACCGCCTCGCGGTGGGGGTGTTGTTTACGAAATTCAGAGGACGGAAAGGGAATGTCTAGCGCTTTAACCGAGTTAGTGGGTATAGAGGGTCTACCTAGGGGAGTTGGAAAACCCTGATTCCAAACCAATGGTTCACATGGGTTCCAGAATCCTGAATGAACAAATGGCGTATAAAACAATCGTTGGTCAACGGCTACCATGAGACTGCATCTCCTCACGATGCTCCACTGCCTTGTGGATCAGACCTCTAGGTCAAAGACTCCGGGTGTGGCCTCCTGAGGAAAACACCTGCTCCGGTCTGGGCACCCGGGTAGTATCACAGCCCACACGCAAATCAAGTGAGTTGTGCGGCGCATATGTATTTGGTGCCTCCTTTTAACAATGTTAATGTATTTAAATCAATAAATGTTAGGAAATATTTTACTATGTTGCTCAAGTTAAACTTATGATTTGAGAAAGAAACAGATGTTGACTGATTATTGTGTGATCTTTTAATATGAATTAAATTATGAGTAACTAATGAAAACCCTCAAAATAAAATGAATTCATTTTAATATTTTTCAAATATTCTTTATGTCTTATTCAAATTCATAAAAGGAACTAAGTCTTAGAAACATTCCAACATCAAAACTTCTTGATGAATCACTTATTCCTTTAATGTAATTATGATAAGATCAATCATGACAATAAGAATATTTTTGTTTTAAAGTGTAATATTCATGAATATATGCTGAATATTTTTTTTTCTAATTCCTTTGTTTCTTTTCTGTGATAACATTTATTTATGTTATATAAGAAAAGAGAAACTGTATGATTTCCTTATATGCAACTCTATTGAAATCTACCAAATACTTAAAATTCAACGAGTTGAGGTCATATATCTTCAAAATTTATTCATACTTTACTTTTCAGTGTTCTTGAATTTTCTGAGCTAGATAATCTGATTGGTTAAATTTCACCAATATGAATAACGTTGTCAACATTTACTTCCATCCAGAATTGAGATTTTTTAAATATTCCACAGTTATTCAGTCAATTCATTCTGATAACCATATTTTCAAACGATTATCTTCGTATGTTTTAATCGTTCTCATTTGTCAGTTATAAGAACAATCTAAATCAATAAATGCGAAGTAATTGAAAATCTCAATTCGAAATAAAATAGATTCTGATTATGTTATCCACATAGAAGCTTAGTCGTTGAAAAGTTTAGCTGAACTTTAAAGACATCCAACTTATCTGTAAATCAGATCCATCATTTCAAACATTTTAGCTTGGTGCTAATATCTATAATCTTGTAATATTATGACTTGTAGTTGTTTTTACAGTGAAAAATAGTTTCTAAGACAGAAAAACTGTCGGTATTCATTAATTTCTGAACAATTATTAACTAACAATGAAAAGAATTTTATGAAGCTTGATAAATGACAATTTTCATAGTACACCTTTTATTTTATATGTAGAATGTAGAAAAATTGATTGACCAGTTCTGTTAGACGTCCAAACTTACGGCCTCCATTACCACCGCCACCGCTTCTGCTCCTTCTAGCAGAGGGTTTTTCTTCCAAATTAAGTGAAATACGAAATTGACATAATTTATTGTTTTATATATATATATATATATATATATATATATATATATATATATATATATATGTTAGAGATTAAACACTGTTGATACATTTAGTATTCTTTATACACTGTTTTCTTAGAATATAAATGAATATCAAGCACAATCATACATATTTGAAGTAATCATTATTGATCATTCGTTGCAGTGAGTATACATTTGTTTTAGATCATTTTAACTGCTTTATGGATCATCTAAAATGTTCAGTAGTATTGTGATATTGTAAGAAACATCTGAAAATCATACTGAAAGTACTTATGTATCTAATCCTTTGTAGAGTTTAAGGAAAAGTGAGTTTATTTCTTTCAGAAACCCACGTTCACTCTGTAATTAATGCTTTGTTGCAAGTAATGACTTTAAAGACATAGCAAAAGTAGTAGAAGGAATAAGTATGATCTCTTCAATGTGTTCATTTTAAAAAATAATCCCATTAGTCAGGTTTATTTTCGACGATTACGGTTAATAAAATATTGTTGACGCTGAGTGAACGGTACGTGCATATTTTAAGCTGATTATGTACGAGATTGTAAAACTAGATGGTTTATAAGTTCGGTGATAATCTGAAACTCTGTGAAAGAGGGTGCTTAAAGAACTTGAACCTCATTTTTCAATGGTCCTTTTTTCAAAAATAATAAGTTGAATAACTTCATATCATACGAACTGATTTTTAAGTAGATAAACTGCTCAAATATCCGTCTTTATTAGTACTATAAAGCAACGAATATTATAGTAGTTGAAACTGGTTTTTCGAATTATTACTTAACATAATTTGTTCTATAATTACTGAATTACCAAGTGACATTGTGCATATATTCCATTAGTCATAAGCTCTTGGTTGATAGGCTAACGACTGTCGTATTTATTCACTGTTCCTAATTCGTAACCAGCCTGTCTGCCATAGTCTTGCCTATTCACAGTCACCCTAAGCTTGTTTATATATAATTATTTTTTTAATTTATCATGTATTGTGGTCCGGTGTGTCGGTATATAAACTACGTCTAATTGGAATATAAAGATAGTAGAGTCTGGTTACTACATCTGGATTCAAGGCTGAGCATAGAGAGGGACTTAGTTTAAACTCAAGGTCACTATTGCTGGTTAGAGACAGTAAGCTGTAAGGTGAATAATGTGCGCAAAATAAACCTGAGTATAATCAGTATTCTGCTTGGTGACTTGGCATATGACATTGGTCAGCGGGCTTCAAGACATAACAATTGGTTATGAAAATTTCTAACGTTATCATTTTAAAAGACAGTGTCACTAGCGGAATGACTAAATTTATAAACTGAGTTTAATATTCAAAACTTCAATATATTTCAGTCAGCAAATAAACTTACTCCCGTTCTCACCAAAAAACAAACTGAAAACTAAAGTCAATACAAGTTTCTTTTATGCTTACCAAATTGAAATGGATCAAAATAATCAATTATATTTGAATTTGCTATAAATAAAGGTTTCTATTATATTCACGACAATGAAGATTACATCACGAACTAAGGTTGACAGCTTTCTTTGATCTGAATGAAGAATTGGTGGGGACAACGAATTACACAGTTCTTCCATAAAATGTCAAAATCATACATCAAATAGATCGTTTGCATATATTCCATCAGTTCTCCTTTACATGATTCATGATTCTTTCAATTCCGTGGTTACCATAATTACTTCCTGTTTCCCGTTCTGTTTTCTTCAATTAAATCTTCCCAATCTTCTTCAGGTATGCATTTCACTTCCGATAGGTGTTATATACTACTTATATCTTTCATTAGAACTAACACACACAACATTAATAGTTCTGACTCATGAATTTGTTAACAGACTCAAATATCCAAATGATCTCATCAAAACTTTCTTGCTGGTTCGAAGGTTATAAAACATATTGTGAGATGAGCCTAATTTTTTAGATAACTTGATAAATCGATTTATTGTCTCGATTTAGGTGTAAACAAAGCCCATCGGACTCTAATACATTAACTGCATGACTACAGTAATTAAACTAATCGCAGAAAACCAGTCTACAAATATATTTTGCAGACTAATAAAAAAATGGTTGACTAAAATAAAGAAAGTACTTTATGTGTACATAAATAACGTTTAGTAGTTACTGCATCATATTATAAAGTAACGACGCTACTACTGGTTTCTTAATGCTTTATTGCCAACCTTTGTCTGATTTGTTTCAAAGTAACAAATCTCAATAGTAAATTTTGTGGACAATATTAACAAAATTTTGAATGATCACTAATTATCAACAAGGAAAACTGTGAAAATAAACATAAACAGCTCATTTTACTGAGTAATCTTTTCAAGTAAGACATAAGAATGAAATCTCGATCATTAACGGATTTAAACTTCAATACTCACAGTCAGGTAGATTAACCGCAGGACCCTTGTGACCACCTATTTCTTTCAACCATAATAGATAAGATTTGAAAGTGTTAACATTTTTTTAATTTTTGTCAAAGAATAAAGAATATTACTATTCAATTTGTCTTAAAGTGAAGGGGAATAACTAATTAGAATAAGTTTTACTTCTTATAATCCAGTGTTTCACCTAATCGATAATATTATCATCTCCTCTTCTCTTTATGTCTATCACAATTGAAATCAGTAATGTTTTTATAGATTTATTGCAAAATTCATTGTCACTCTTGTTACATTCAAATGAAGTGGTTTAAAATAGAACTAAAGATCTTATTTCAAGCATCAATTTCATTTATTACCACATATATAAATAACATTGATTGATATGTACAACAAGAGTGTAGAATTTTAATTCTTTCATGAACGATGGAACCGTTAGAGAATGCTTAAGCAGTTGTTGTTGTTGCTGTAAAATAACTAAAATGTGCATAGGCGATGTGTTCTTTTTTTTGGAATACAACTCAACATCCAGTCAAGATTTACTTCTAGTAAGAATAGATTCCTATCAAAGATATAAATCGTCATGCAGTTTCTTCATGTAGTCATGCTTGAAACATTACTGATATTGACCATTTCTTTGTTCAATGAGTAAATCACTCAGCTTTAATTGTGTGTCACATGTGTAACAGTAATGATATAATCCGCTTCTATTTAATACTAAACTTACGTTCATTCTCAAAAAAGAGTTTACTGAAAACTGTAGTAAACAAAAGTTTGTTTTATACTTCTACATTCGATCATTTAATGGCTAAAGTCGTGTTTGTGTAGTCTTGGTCGAATTCTATTGACTAAGTTGCTATGTGGTCACTAGTCTGAAAGACTTGGCATCACCTCCGAAATAGCTCATTGTTAACGTCTTACTTAGCACTGTTAAGATGGGTAATGTAGGGTCGAATCCACCAGGGAGCACCAGCCCTCTCAAAATTACGGGTGTATATTTATAATAAGTACCAAATATCGCAAAACTTGGTCTGGGGTTTCCTGTCTATAACCTCACATCTCAGCATAGTTTATGCGATGTCAAGCTATCACAGTTAGCTCACCAGTGACTGATTTCAATGTTTTTGAAGTTCTGTTGATAAATTGTGATGAATGGAGACATGTTAGAAATGGAACAGTTGTTATCGATGGGAATACATGATTGTCTCGTTATAGCTCGGATTGATTGAAGTTAAATTTGTAATACTGGATGTCGACCCAGTGATTCTAATGCTTAAGCGTTCGTCCCAATACTTGAAGATTCTGGTCCAGTCTCTGGTGGAGTCGTATTTTCTGTGAAAGTTTCACACTAGGACGAAACAGCTATCCTGCACCCCTTGATTACCAGTGATGCCTCAAATGAAGATATTGTGAATACAAGTTACAAATTAAACTAAGGTCGACAAAACCACTTTGTTACCTAAACTTGATCATCGTACGATATGCAGTTATTTCGTATTACATAACGGAACGTTAAGATGAGATGCCTTTACTTGTCATGCTTGAGTCAATTAAAACACAAATTTATCAGAAAATAACCTCTCAGTTAATTCAGAACATGTGATTCGCAGTTCAACGCGTCATATTTAATTCTTTCATGAACCATGGTAACGTTAGAGAATGCTTAAGCATTTGTTATCGCTATATGATAACTAAATTATGCATAGGTAACGTTTTCTTTTTTTGAATACAACTCAACATTCAGTCAAGATTTACTTCTAGTAAGAATAGACTCCTGTAGCCATGTTTGAAACATTACTGATATTTCTCTAAATTTCTTGTATCTTAGTCAAATTACATTTTGTAAGTTAAAAAAAAATCCAAACTGAATTTTGAATCGATAATCATAAAACCTCTTTACGTAATGATCAAATAACTTTTCTTTGGAATACTAAACTTACATCCAAACCAGTCAAAGAGTCTAGTGAGAACTGTAGTAAACAAAAGTTTGTTTTACGCTTCTACATTCGATTTGGTTTAAATAAATAAAGTAAACTTGGGTCGGCAGATAAAATGTATTCTTATTCTGTGAACAGCATTAGAAACTAAAACTAAGATGATTGATAGTCTCATCCTACATTCTAGAAACTTATAATTGTATTAATCTTGTCTATAATTTTGATTCTCTTAAACATACTTTAATATACAACTGTTGATTATATGCCAAATTTTGTACTGGACTTATTTGTTTCAAAAGCAATTACTACCTTGCATTAATAAGATGGATACTATATCTACTGGATCCTATGTAATCAACTACTTATTTTCGTTTTGTAGTTTGCATCACAGACTGACCTTAGTTAGAAACCACTGAAATCTAGGAAAAGTTGAGCAAATATTCCGTCCCACTATGAGACCGTTCAGTAGCACACAACCACAGTTTGGAGTGAGCACAAAGTCTTTAAGTCTCGTAGTGAGCGCCTAAACTTCAAATCACTGAGCTGACATCTACTATTTTGCGTAACAAACCTCACTTAATTCGGGATATCACTCAACTATTTTGAACTGCTATTGATAATTGACTGCCTCACACTTGACATAGTAGAACTCAACGGACCACGCTTTCTCAATAGAATGCCGGAAGTTGATGCTCAGAATCAGTCAGTAATGATCACATGATTATAATTAATACAAAGGGGTTTGTAAGGAACGTTATATTTCATAATTTGTAGCATGGATTGACCATAATAGGGTTGCGAATACAAGTAAAGTGCTTCCTTGTTTCTAATAGTTATTTAACTAAAGTCAGTCCTTGATGTATATTAAAACACTCAACAATCTCCACGAATCCCCATACACTCCTATATTGTTTAATTAAAAACAAATGAATGCTACAAACACATACAAGATATACTCTAATAAATGTGTAATGAATAATTCACCAGAATAAATAAACTTTTTATATTTATAGTGATGATAATCCGTATTTACCGCCTTAATTTACTTTTCATCACTGCGATATATATATTACCACTAACTTGTAGCTATCTTTTCGTAATATGAAGAGATAGTATTCTTTATAAGTTATTGTTGATATGATAACTGAGTCCTCTGAAGCATGAGATCCCTTGATTTGATTGAATAATGGTTATTTAAATAGAAATTCTAAAGACTCATTTATATGAATCAAATGTGTTTCTTAATCCAGTAGTGTAGGATACATATCAGAAGAATATCAAGTTTAGCATTACTTCAACTCTTCTAAATATATAAAGTTTGAAGTAAGGAAGCATATCAAGAAAATCTAACAAAGAACTAGTCATTAGGAACTCGAGATTGAAAAGTAACTATGTCTCTTGTTGAACAAAACATATTGACCTTGAAAACTTGAAAATGAGTATTTAATATTCCTTATGCATGGTAGAAAAGTTCACAATTTGAAAGATGTACAAACATTTATGAAGTTTGTAAGCAAAGATGGATGGTGAGTATCAGTAGAATCCAACACATGAGTCTCGTCCTTTTCGGCACTCGTCAGCTGCATGTACCTCCATCCCAGAGTTGGTGTTTACTCCGGGACTCAAACCCAGTGCCGCTCGCTTCAAATACTATAGCATTACCCGCTAAGCTACTGAGTCCAGAAAGCCACTAGCTTGTGGCAATATCGAGGCGATCCGCATCGGATAGACATATGCCAACAGGAGACTGATCAATTTCAGTCCTAAACATCAATGAAAAAATTCAAACAACCAATACAAAAATGAATTAATTCTAAAGTCTTACCCCAGTCTGTAAAGTAAGAAAAAGCATTGACTACATCATTTAATGTAATTTGTTTCTGATACATCTTAGATATTTTATTGCATCACTACACAGATACAATAGTTTACCGGTCATATGTCACCAATATGATTATAACGATAGAAATTATTCATGCAATTATATTTATATGTAGAGTAGTAAAAATACCGATGATCAAAGGAAAATAGAACGTCGAAAATCGCTTACTCTGGGCGCCTGAGGAATTTATAATTTCAAAAACAAAATGTAAGTTATCGGAAGAGGGTTTTGTTGAAATTTTAATAATCTAATAGTTTAGTTCATGAGCGAATGAAAGCTAGACGACCATGGAAAACCTTGAGCTACTGGACGGCCGTTTCGTCTTAGTATGGGACTCATCAGCAGTGCGCACCCATGATCCCGCCCGCGGGATTCGAACCAAGGACCTAACGGACGAGACAGCCGTCCAGTGCTTCCAATTTTTCCATGGTGGTCTAGCTTTAATTGACTCATGAATTCAACTATAAAATGTAAGTTTTTTTAATGATTAGACGTTTGACCGTGATGAATAGCCAACTATTATCAACATGAAACTACCTTGAAAAAAATAAGACTTTCCGCAAAAAATCAAAAAGGTTATTTTCTAAGGAAATATTGGTAAATTTTCAATAACTCACATTTAACTGAAAAGTAAAAATTAATTTAAAATGCAGAATAACCCAATATAAATAAAAGAAATTGAATTCTTTCGTGTACTGAATTAAAGTAATACTGTAGTGAACGAAGAATTGGTAGAAACAACCATAAACAACCACACATCAAATACATCATTTGCACATCTTCTATTAGTTCACCTTTACATGATTCATGATTCTTTCAATTCCGTGGTTACCATAATTACTTCCTGTTTCCCGTTCTGTTTTCTTCAATTAAATCTTCCCAATCTTCTTCAGGTATGCATTTCACATCCGATTGGTGTTACATACTACTTATATCTATCAACATAAGTAGTATACATGTATTACCAACAACCATAATTAAATACTTAAGGAAAATGTCACATATACCTTTCTAAATCCTTGAGATCTGCATTATGTCTAAATCGATAATATAATCTTCATTTTTGTAACCTTCATAACTAACAAATTCTGAAATGTGACTGGTTACAAATGTCAAATTTCCCTTAAGTTAAGAATAGAAATCAAATGATAAAACATAATCTTAATGTATACAACAGTTGTAAAACCATTATAACTATTTTACGATATCGTATAATTCACTATAAATATTGAATTCCAAGTTGTTATAATCTTCATAAAATTCACTTCATGTTGTTTACATGTATCTTTTCATTGTTATATTAGGACTGTAATTGATCCATCTTATATTGGTAAATGTGCATCCTGTGCGTACTGCCTCAATATTGCCTTCATAAAAGTTTCTAATTGGAAATTAAAAGGAACCAATAGTAAAATTGGTGTAAAAAAAGATTCGCTTTCATAACAATGAAATAAAAGGAACTGTAATAGAATTCTCTAAGGGGAATCAAAGGTCAACATTTACATATTTCCTCTAATGGAAAACACTATAAAATGTTTATTTCTTGTTTAATATAAATCTAAAAATTTATTTTTTTATAAGTTAAACCATCATATTTTTGTATGATAATGATTCCATTAGAATTTATTACATTATAATCTCTTGTTTTTTCTGAAAAGACCATCATGGAAAATCTGGAGGCACTGGATGGCCGCTTCGTCCTAGTATGGCACTCATTAGCAGTGCGCATCCACGATCCTGCGCCCCTCCGCGAGACTCGAACCCAGGACCTGTCAATCTCGCGCGTGAGCGCCTAACCACTAGACCAATGAGCTGTTCGACATCCGACGGTGTTAATGTCTAACTTCAATCAATCCATGAAATTGCGCCACTGTACATTATTGTCTTCAGTGAGCTGATATCTCACAACAGACCTGGTTGAACTCCACTGTTAACGGCTTCTCACTAGAACTCCAGGAAACGTATCTTGAAGTCAGTCACTAGTGTGCAGATGATTATGATCAAAAAGGGGGGTTTTGTGGAGATTTTAGTAATTTCAATAGTTGAAATCATGGTGGTCTAGCTTCAATTGACTCATGATTTCAACTACCGAAATTACTAAAATCTACACAAAACCCCTTCTGATCATATGTAAACCTTGTATATGAAATCAAACTACAGGAAAACAAAGTACATAGTACTTTTAAAGAAATCTAAGTAAACAGTACTCACTTAGTTCTGTATAACAAAAAAAATTCCATTAAAATATTCATTTTTATTGTAAAAACAAAACAAAACCAATTGGATCGAAGAGTTTCACAGTATTGGGGCACCGAGTTAATGTGAGACATTAAAAAGGAAAAATGTATTTGTAAAATCTCAGCGAAAGTATTTGAAGTAAATCCAGCGTTTCGCCTGGCAATCTCGTCCAAGCTTTCTCCAGAGAATCATGCATCTATTGACATTCGATAATTTTGATGTTTGATTATATTTCCTTGAAAAAGTTTGGACCAAATTGCCAGGCAAAACGTTGGATTTACTTCAAATTCTTTTGTTGAGATTTCACAAATACATCCTTCTTCTTTAAAATAAAACCAAGATAGAACAATTTACTTTTGTAAAAGAAGCTAGGAATACTAACTTCAAATTATATTATCAAGAAGGTATTATCATTCAAATTTAATCAATTCAGTTTTTATGGAGAAGTTCATCAGTTCATTACATAATACCATTGAATACAATCTATGCATATCTCAAAAGTAAAATAAAACATGTTACGATTTTACTAAAACTTTATAGTGATATTCCTATCAGTTACATGAATGTATTGTTCTAGAATAATCTCAATGCTAGTTCTTTTTTTGATATTCGTAAATGTGTGTGTCTTTTTAATGAATTTTCGCGTATACAGAATTCATTTTATCAATCAGTAAATATCGTCATTTCATTCTATTTGTGTCCGTAGATACGGTATGTGCGTTGCACCTTCGAAGTGCAAAATACTTCTACAAGACTGGCAGGATTCTAACCCTGTACTCACTCTGGATGTTGAGCAGATAGAAGTAGTCGAGAAGTTCGTGTATCCAGGTAGCTGCATAAGTGCTGGTGGTGGCTTGAGTGATGAGATCAAAGCCAGAGTGGCTTATGCCAATCTCGGCCATCTTTGGCGCCT